TGCTGAAACAGTAAGAAATAACATCTGCACAGTATATTAAAAGACTGAAGCTTTATATAACTAAAGTGCTTTAATGATGTTGAGAACAGTCAAAGTTTGCAGAGAAAATTTTCAAAAATCTGATAAATTGCAAAGTGAAACTACTAAACTAAAATTGAAATGGAGGAAGCCTCTAGAATTGAAATGGAGAGAGGAGGCAGAACAGCTACATGACACATCAATGGCCAGCTGTGGAAAATTATAAATTGGATCACTTCTCAAAAAACTGTAGACCCCTTTCACTTGTCATACTGGCATTGGAAAAAAATGGCAAATATGTGACCACCATAACAAATCCTAAGAGCAACACAAAAAAATATACAAACACTTTAATTCCCAGCAGAGCAATGAGAATAAACACGTCTTTGGAAAAACATCCTTAAAAAAATGTTCAGACACATCTTTCTTAAAAAAAAAGGTAATGATACATAAGAAAAATTAAAACCAAAATATTATTAAGTGTAAGACTGGCAAAATCATAGAATCTTTTTGGTTGGAAAAGACCTTTAAGATCACCAAGTGCATCCATTAACCTGACACTGCCAAGCCACCACCAAACCCTGCCCTTAAGCACCACATCTACATGTTTCTTGAAAAACTCCAGGCATGGTGACTCAACCATTTCCCTGGGCAGCCTGTTCCAGTGCCTGACAATGCCCTCTGTCATAACTTGAGGCCATTTCCTCTTGTTCTATCATTTGTTTCTTGAGAGGAGACACCAACATCCACCTGCACCTCCTTGCAGATAGTTACAGAAAGCAATAAGGTTTCCCCTCAGCCTCCTTTTCTCCAGACTAAACCCCAGTTCCTTCAGATGCTCCTCGCAAGACTTGTTCTCCACACCCTTCACCAGCTTCAGTGCCCTTCTCTGGACTCACTCCAGCACCTCAATGTCTTTCTTGCAGTGAGAGGCCCCAAACTTAACACAGTACCCAAGGTGTGGCCTCACCAGTGCCGAGTACAGCAGGACTGATCCCTCACTATTCCTGATACTAGCCAGGTTGGCTTTCTTGGCCACCTGGGCAAACTGCTGGCTCCTATTCAGCCAGCTGTCTACCAATATCTCCAGGTCCTTTTCCTCTGGGCAGCTTCCCAGACACTCTTCCCCAAGCCTGTGGCATTCCATGGGGTTGTTGTGACCTTGGGACCAGCACTAAGCTTTGTTGAATCTTACACAACTGGCCTCAGCCCATTGATCCAGCCTGTATAGATCCCTCTGCAGCACCATCCTACCCTCAGCTCCCTCCCAACTCGGTGTCATCTGCAAGCTTACTGAGGGTGCACTTGATCCCCTTGTCCAGATCACTAGGATTAAAGAGAACTGGCCCCAACCCTGAGACCTGGGAACACCACATGACTGGTTGCCAACTCCAATTTAACTCCATTCACCACAACTCTTTGGGCCTGGCCATCCAGCCAGCTTTTTACCTAACAAAGTGCACACCCATCCAAGCCACAAGCAGCCAGTTTTTCCAAAAGAATGCTGTGGGAAACTGTGTCAAAGGCTTTACTAATGTTCAGGTAGACAACATCCACAGCCTTTTCACCTCATCTGCTAAATGGGTCACTTCATCATAGAAGGAGATCAGGTTCATCAAGCAGGGCCTGCCTTTCATAAACCCATGCTAATTGGGCCTCAATGCCTTGTTGTCCTGCATGTGCTGCACACAATAATAAAAATAATACAGTAAAGGTAATAATTCAGAGACTGAGTTACAAAACATTTCAGGATGCTTTATATTCACAAGCAGTAGGAAAAAAATTAGTTCTACTACCCTTGTGGGATTAGGCTGGCTGCTGGCACAGCCCAGGAACCCTGCCACTGGGGACTTCCTACACTCCTGGAACCACTGACTTCAATGCCACTAGTTTCATTTATTTTTTTTTTCTTAGCAGTCCTAAACAATATACTGGAATCTGAATTGTGCCACACATCCTTGCAAGACTCACCCTTTGGTACTTTCATGATGAAGGGGTGAGTACAGGTGTGTATGCCTGTGTGAAAGGGAGGGAGTATATTTTTAGGTCCTTTCTCCTTTTCACTAAGCATGGGAATGGCAACACGAGTAAAATGACTGGCAATGATACTGCCTGTAACCTCTTGCTAAATAAAGACTAACAAGAAACATATGCCAACATTTTTAAGAAACACTCTATAATCTGCTATTGCAGACAAAGTGACACCCCAAATCTAAAATATATTTATCTTTCATCCTTTGAATATGGCCTTTTATTAATTACCTCCAGAATACCAAACTCAGTGTCTGTATATGTGCATTTAACAGTGGTTAAATATTTCAACTAGTTCTCAAAAATATGAGGAATCAACACTCTCCTAAAGTTGGGGTCTACCAAGTGAGAGAAAATATTTTATTCTTAAAAATGTGCATTTATTTAGCTTGGTAGTATTTTCTCACAAAATTAATAGAATTCAAATATAGCAGGGCTTAATCCACACCATCCTGCTATTAAACTTTTGTAGGGAGCTACCAATGTTCCCCACCTGTTCTCCAGGCTTGAAATCTTGAAGCGCGACACATTCACACCGGTCATCCTCTAAATTGTAGCCTGTAGTGATCTATCCAAGGAAAGACAAACAAAAGCACCGTTAGTATTTTATATTTATCTCCACCACCACTGACAAAGCATTGCTCTATTAGAAACAACCATTAACAATAGCAATTGCATACATTTCTTTCTCTGCACAACATCGTATGGCTGGTAGCAATTGTTTTACAATTCCTGAGCAATCTCTTTTTAAGAAATATCTGCATTAAAGAAATATAAGGGAAGAAAAGCTTACCTGAAGTGAATGGAAAGCTCTGAGGAAAGTCCCCTCCATTGACTATAGACAGTTCCATGCTAAAGAAGGAATCTTGGTATAAAGTTTTGGAGTTTTCAGTCACTCCCAAGAGGCCCAAGGGAGCAAGGCACTGACAGCTCTGTATGCTGTGTGTTATCCTTCAACTGCCAGCACATTTTTGATCTCTCAATGAAAAAGGATTAGATAACTATGGATCTTCAGGGGACACAATCTTCAGAGAATTATAATTTACTTACACATAATCACCTTATCTAAAGTTAAGTAATATTCTTAAATTCTAGAAGGATTTTTTTAAGGGTAGCAGGCAAGGGAAGAGGATAAATTTTCTAAACAAACCTGTACTTCTCAAAAAAAAAAAAATTACAAAACCGTGAAGTGGTCACACTAACAAGTAAAGCTATCCTAAAAATGCAATACTCTTTTAAAGTGACAAACAGCATGTTCTTGAGTAGTATTACCAAAGATGGTAGCACAGATGCAGCCATGGGATGGACGACAAGCTGCTGAACAATCAGAAGGCAAGTTTTATGGTAGGTATTCTGAATTCAGTACTGACAGAGCTAACTTATGGGAAAATATGCTCTGGGCCTGGGGAAAAACTTAGAAGCCAAAAATTCTTTCTCAGCCTTTGTAAATGAAAACATACTTGTTTGTACACTGACTTATATGTGACTTGTGGTATACCCTAATTCCCATCTTGGATGCAGTTTGTCCAAAGACAGAACTCCACGGACTATTTTGACAGCTTGGTTGATGGTTTTTGCATGTTAATAATTTTATGCTGTTTGTATCATCAAGCATGCATTTGTCTGCCAAAACAGTGCTCTCCAAGTGAGCACAGGGAACTTCCTTACGATGCAGCAAACCCAAAATGGCAGCCACAAGCACCAGCAGCCCAGCTCTGCAGAGGCCTGCAGAACTGCTCTGCATGCAGATGCCATCAATTCAGGTCTCTTAGTGGGTTTGTAGTATGTTGAGATCAGAAGAGAACACAAGACTCATGCATTACAGCCTCCTGCAAAACACTGGCTGTAGTACTTGTACACAGAAATGCCTGTACCTTTGCTATGCTGGACTAAACAATTTTTAACTAAGGTCTCTCTCTACTAACTCAGAAGGTTTTCTAGCCCTGAACTGCAGGTTGCAATTGCTAGAGGATTTACTATGACAAATATACCTTCCAAGTTCAAATACAGTCGTCTTGGGAAAATCTGCAATTTCCATTCAAAAAAGGGAACTCTTGACAGCACTTGACCTGTCCTGAATTTTTCTTAGTGTGTAAACTCAATTAACTACTTCTGAATGTGAAAACTCCATTCCAGTTTCTTGAAATGCTTATGGAACAGCAGGCTTTCAAGGACTGGGGAAATTCTAGTATGCTAAGAGAAAGATTCTGTCAATTTAAGCATGCTTCACTAGAGTACTGCTTGCTTTGGGAATTGTTTTTTATTTTTGACTTAAAAAAAAATCTCAACAAAACCAGCAGCACTTCTGAAAGGCTTTTCTGTAATGCATAGTGGAGTGCTAGACTCTTTATTTCCTCTTTCTTTTAATAGCAGTCACGTAAGAGAATTAACAGGGTGTTTACTTCTCTTCCCACATGATAGCTGACAAATTGCATCCCTTCAGTTTTACTTCTGAAGCAGACAGATACATGAATTTCAAGTTGTCTATAAAGAATGCAATAGTCTGCTTGGTCAGTGATTAAGGGTGGACCCAGCTCAACAGGTAGAATGTAGCTTATACAAAACGCTGGCAGAACTGGTAATCAACCTCTGACAGTCAAAATACAATCCCACTAAAAAATAACAATGAGAAATTCATGAAGACAACCATTTTGATACAGTTCTTAGGGGCAGGCTGATCTCATTAATAGTGTCAGAAGCAAGAAAAAGCTGGATGGACCTATCTCCAGTTAAAACCCAAAGAGCATTTTATTTTCTAGCTTATGGAAAGGGGCCTTGTGGAATAAAGCAAGAATAGGGATCTATAGCAGCTGATTGACTCAAGAAGAATTTCAGCACCACACTTGGAATAGACTAGACAGGGGTGCATACAACACTATCTTTCACTTCTTACTTTCCTGCAATGAAGAACAGTTCCCTTAAAAAAGGGACATGCTATGTCCCTTTAAAGGGACATGCTATGACTAGAGCAGAATCCTCCCTCACCTCCCTCTACAATAATATAAACTACAACACAGACAGCTTACAGTTATCTAGAAGATTTTTTTCCCCATTTCTGATAGCACAAGGAAATGAACACACACAACAGAAATAGGTTTAGTAACTTTTCTTAGCCCAGTATCAATATTACAGTTTTTTATCCTTCCTAAAACTACAACCATCTAACCTACTTTCTGTAGAAATATGAAACTAATTAGGAAAGCATGTATATACACACAAAACATTTAAGTTCAGCATTCCCTCACACCTCCCCCTCCCCCCACCCTTTAGGATACAGTTCAGCATAAAACAATGCTTCCCACCCTGATACACTACTGCACTAGCAGGTTTGGCTCCAGAGGCTGGCTCCATATCAAAACCATTGTTAAAGAGCATAAGAAAAATAAAAATTACTTTATCAATTTAAATAGAAGTTTCAATTATTAAAACAACATAACTAGCTGCTCTTTTAATATAGGCTACTTAATTTTTTTCCCTCCCTGAACTTTAATTCTCTTCCTCTTTCCTCTAATCCCTACTTTGAAGACACTCATTAAGAGTTGTCTAATGAATACAGACAAGTCTCTGCAAAAGCATCTGAAAGAGATGCCCAGCAGGAGAAGGGTACAGGAAGTACAGATACTTGCAGCTAAGACTTATGTTACAAAAATACACACTTCTGAATTTTAAGCAAGTTTCTTTACATTGGAGACTCTGATACAAGCTCTATTGCTAAATCAAAGTTTTGAGAGTGCATAACAAATAGTGAAAGGCAACAATCGCTGTTAAAGGACAACAGATAAATCACCTTTTCATAGGCCAAAATAAACAAACCCCTACCACACACACCCACAACGTCGTAGCCTAGCCTACCCTGCTGTATTTGGTAGAGTCATAGTAACAACAGAACAGCTAAATGTCAAGTGAAAAACAACTTGCTTTACAATTTGTTAATTCAAACCAGGCTTTTCTTATACTGACAATACTAGTGCATGCTGCTGTCCTCACACTCAGGTCAACTCTCCCACAATAGAAGCGGATTACTTCAATTGTGTGGATGTATTCACTGCTTACAATAAATACTACCTACTGGAAACACAACTAGAAGTATGAATTTTGAAGTGTACATGAGACCAGCAAAATAACACTGATAAACCATCCTCTTACGGGCTCCCATTTCCTCACTTCAACATTAACTAGCCTGCTAATGAAATCAAGACCTCATCTTCTGAACTAGCTCACGTAAGCCAAAATGTCAGCAGGTCTGACTTTCTATATACATATGTCACCTTTTAAATGTTTAATATGCCCTAAAGTAGGATTTTTGCATTTTGTTTCTTTGATGTAGTAACAGATGTACTGCTTTTGTTGAACTAGGCTTTGTTCTTGTTGTTGCTGCCTTCATAACAAGGCTCTTTGGGCATGGTTAGGAGAGCAGGCAGTATTTTTTCGTTGCAAATTTCTAAGCAGTTTCCCTAGTGGTAGCCAGGGGAGGCAACCTCCGTCATTGTCTGCCTTCCCACTCTCAGAACAAACCTGTCCAGCACTGTGAATCTTTTTCAGCCTGTCAGAAACAAAACTCCATGCCAGAGGAATATTCAAACTTGGCTGGAAAAAAAGTACAATGTAACTGAAAACTTTTAAAAGGATGTTATACATGTACAAAACATAACTTTATGCAGGCATGCAATCACTTACAAAGTTTTCTCTAGATGAAGAAAGTTCTCCCTGAAAAGCTATCATAAGACATTTAAGAAACTGAAAAATCTTTCCTTCAGGTACTACTAGGTTTTTAGTGTCACTTGGGAAAATGAAATACCTCTGTTAAGAAGGATAATGAAAAGAGTTATTAAACTGTTCTACAACAGCTGAAAGGCTTAATACTTAAGCTCTTTCAGCAACACTGAAGAAATCCTTACCAGTCCATTAGTATGATTACACATGTCCCATAGAGGTATTAGAGCCAATGTAACTCTGGAACCATCTTCTGTTGGAATCTGGTTCTGTCGTGTCATAACAGAGGAAACTGCCCATCTACAAAAATTAGAAACATTAGATGGTCAGTGCTCAAAACATCAGTACATAATTGGCTGTAGTCCAATATGAAGCAAACATTTAGGCTGGGAGTTTCCAAACTTAGTTTTCTTAAAGATCACACTGACTAAAGTAACCCTGGAAGACAGTACCACTTGCAGGAGAACCAGCAGCTCCTATGTTTCCAAGACATGCACACAGACTCATTCCGAAATCAGGACTGCAATCCCACCTCTCTCCTGCACTCTGCAACAGAACCTTCCTACTTCCCATTGTGTCAGCCAAGACCCACTCCCATGTCACATTCTGCTTCCACAGCTCTTCACTGTACACCTACCTCTGGTCTCACATCCCAAACCTGGGGTCAGCTATTACTGCAGACTTCAGAGTAGCTCTCCTCTACATGCAGACTCTTGTAAAAGCCACGGATATTTTTTCCCTCGCTCCTTAAAAAGCTTATGTGCCACATGAAACAGAAACCTGTGTCATCACCTGACACATCCATGATATTCTGGTAAGTGCTTCTCTTCAGTTTGCCAACTTTTGGCTTAGATCAGTATTGCAAAATTTTCTGCTTAACAGAATAAAGAGGGAAAAAAAAGCTCCAATACCTGACACAGATATGCAGGTAAAGAGAATGAAGAAAGTACAACATAGTCTATAGAATCATAGAATCACAGTTCAGCACACAGACATCATTCAAAACCCTTCTAACTCAGGTTAAGCAAGGGAAATGCCAGCAAATGGACTTAAGAATCTTCAGCAAAGCTTAACACTTCAGTAATTTCTAAAATTTCATTTTTATTTTATTTCCAGCAAAAATGAATGTTAAATGCCAAAGGGAAAAGAAAATCTTAGTTTCACTATATTTTGGCCTTAATACATATATTTGTTGTGGGGTTTTTTTGTGTTTGCTTGGTTGGGGGTTTTTTTGTTATTGTTTTTGGTGTTTGGTTTTTTGTTTGTTTGTGGTTTTTTGTTGTTGTTGTTGTTTTCATTTGCTCGTTTTTTTTCAAGGGGGAAGGAATACTACCAGGAGAGAAGGTCAAACTAATTGTACCTCCCCCTGATTCCACTACTAGCAAGTATTTAATATACAAACTTAGACTTTCAGAAGGATTTTTTTCAGAAACACGTGAGATGGCTTAGGAAGATGCCATCCAACTGAAATCTACCTAATTTCTTAAAAAGAAAGCTAAAATTGTGGAGCAATTCTGATATACAAACACTTAAAAAATATAATAGCAATATGTTTCTTTTAAATTGTTGTATTTCATATGCATAATTTTAGACCACTTCACATGTAAGTCAGCCTGTTCCTCTGTGACCCTATAAGTGAAGGAGACATGCTTTGGAAATCCGACTTTCATGGACTTACCCAGAAGTACAACTAGGGTAAAAAAAAAAAAAAATCCCTGTAAGACCTCATGAATGCCTTTTATTCATAGTATTTTAATAACTTAACAGAATTAAAGCTCTCATTATCTTAATTATTCTTATTTTTATCTTAATTATGTCATCCTCTATAGCATCTCAAAGTGACACTCAGGCTTCACATGTACAGCTTCAGTTTTCCAGCTCTCCTGTTCAGCAGCCACTGCACATACTGGGTTTTACTACGATGTGCTGCTGGTAAAGCCTTTTATTGAAAAAAAAAAAAAAAAAAGAAAAAAAAAAGAAAAAAGAAATCTCCAAACCCAAAATCCAAATCTCCTGCAACACCAAATGCATTATTTTCTTAAGAAACAATGAATTACCTTTCTAATCTCAAGACTATGTGTGTCAGTTGACTAAATTAACTGCTCATGACTTCTCCTTTGTAACAATTAAAATCTGCATATTTATTTTACTTCTTCATTAAGAAAGCACATAAGTATCAAGTCCTACATTTAACATTCCAATAACAACCGGGATTTGCTACCAGTGAAGTATGTCCAGGGTCACACAGTTCAATATATTAAAAAAAAAAAAAAAGAAAAAAAAAAAAAAGAGAGAGAATTAAAAGACAGACCAACCTGTAGTCGTCATAAGTGAAAGAATCCTTTAAGGGCAGTTTGCTGGCATTAGGATGGGTCTGGGAAATGCAAGTTTCAGAAAAAGGTGCAAAGAGAAAGAAAAGAGAATTCAGAAATCAGTCAGCAGAATTTCATTATTTAGCTGCCTAACAGATCCTAACAAGAGCCAAATGAAGCAGGAGGCGTCCAGCCGCGCTACAGAGGGATCATCATGCCATTATGCTCTCATACATCACTGTCAACTTAATTTGTTGTGCCCAGCAGCCGCCATAAATCTGTTTCTTCATATTTCAAGACTGGAACCTACAGACATTGTACAAAAATAAAAAATTTAAGGTGGACTGATTATGTGAAGGTAAAGCAAAACCCAGCCTCTGGTGCAGGGTGGGGGAAAGAAATGATACAATAAGCACATATTAGGTTTCACCAACTTCCACATTTTTCCTTTTATCTTAGATATCTGTAAGGTATTTCACAAACACAAGTACAAATTATATATACAAGGCTGTCAGCTCTTCCTTGATTCCTGTCAAGGTTTTACCCAATACAAAATACACCACACTACGAAATAAATCAGATTAAAATACTTAAAAGTTCTAGGGACAAACCCAGATTAGGTAGTACCTGCATTCAGACATCTATGCATCCTCTCATTTGAAAGTGGAGCAATGCCATTTGAGAATGCATAGGGTAGCCATTACTAAAAGCATAATACACAGATTTTTAGAAAAGCTTTAAGAAGCTGTAATACCTGTTACATTTCCAATCAATTAGCTTAATAAAAGTTTTAAAAATACAGGTAGCTTTAAGCCCACACTTGTATACTTTCCTTAGAACTTTGTCCCAATTCAGAAATGGATAGCCATAATAGCATAGATTTTAATCCTCAGGTTCAATTAGGTCTCAAAGACAAATGGAAGTAAGTGATCAAATGGCTATTTCAGAAGATACAAATGATTTTTTTGCATAGCTCTGTCTTTGCGACACTCTTAATGCATGAAGCTCCATGTAGAATGCAGTTTTTTACTCTTGATGCATTAGCATCACAAGTGCATGGTAATTTATCATTTCTCACTCTAATGTACTTGCTGGCACCGTGTGCAGGACAGTAGGGGATGAGGTAAAAGTGGCTCAAACCGTAAATCAATTAGAAAACAAAAGCTTGTGCTCAGTGCGCAATTTTAGGCAAATTATATATTACAAAAGCCTGCCAATTGGGTGTTAGGTCCCAGATGTCCGCTCTCCCTCAGCCCCTCAATTAACCCTTTGGACGGACGTTCTCTGGAACAGGACATCAGCCAACAATTCCGGAGCCCGCCGTCCCTTCCCTCGCTTTCAGTTACTTTTATTTGTACTTCTTAGAGCACTCTACATTTCCATACGGTTTTCATTCACACGGACGCTACCGTCACCGCAGAACAACATTCCTCGAGTTCAACTGCCCCAACACACTTTACAGAGCTATTTCTCCTCACAGACATCCAGCCCAAAGGCGGAACCGCAACCTGCGCCGGCCCATCCTCGCCGCAGCAGCGCGGCCGGGGCTCGGGGCTCGGGGCTCCGTCCCAGAAACGCACGTGGCCTTCAGCTGGAAGGAACCGTTCCCAAGAACAAACACTATCCTACAGCACTCCTTTACGGCAATTTCGTTTCGACTTTCATTGCTTGAATTATTATTCCAGTTTGCAGTAGCTCGATAAACTAAGCAGGGAAAACTCAGCGCGGAGAACAACAAGCCCGCTCCGCTTTCAGCGCAGTCACGGGCGCGCCTGCTACACCGCGAGTGGCTGTGCAGGGCCGGGATCCCCCCCTGCACCGGAAGTTTTCAGG